AAAAAGGAAAGTGTTCAGAACTACTTGTCTACATCTCTTAAGAGCAAAAAGTTTTCCACTGACTTCGAAAATTTCACCGAAAAAGAATACAAGCTCTAGAAATCGTCTTCAAGAGAACTGTTGCGAGGGGAGGGGGACTCACTGGTAATTGCCCTATCGAGTGCCCTGTGAAGTTGATTGATTAATAGGGGATTACTAGTTTGTCAAAGATAAAAGCCACATTGCACAGTGCTACTCACCGGATTCCGCATATTCAGTGACCCTTTCTTCTTCACTCTCATCCATTGTTATTACTGCTACTCGTAATTTAGCAGTACGTGATTGACCAGTGTGATAGTATTTGGCATGGCAGCATTTCTACATTTCATAGAATCACTCATTTTTATTTATAAAAATTATAAACAAAATTAACAGCCCCTCACCCCTGTAACCAGCATGCGCTTCCAATGGTTTTCCTCTGTATCACTAAGCCTGATTTCAAGTACGTAGCTGAATTGGATATTCTCATGAAGGTTTTAGAATAACTTCTTATGCAAAAGTAAAGTAACTGTCCGGTAACAGAGAGGAATTCGGGTATTTATATGTGGAATAGGGCGGAGGTGGTGTGGTGACAACTAACGGAATCACACACGCATGTGGTCTGAAGATCGAATCGTTATTCCCTCAGACCAACTGGGCTTATCGTTCGTTCCATCCGTCTAGGTTCATTTAACTGGTACCCGACTCGTCTGGGAGGATGAAAGCACTGATTTATTCATCGGCTGGCCACCGTAAGTCATTGTATAGGTCACATACGCACTCAAACTCCACTTCGGTTTTTAGTGGAAATCGAGTGCGGGGCGCATCCCTCAGACGGAATTGATTGGCACCCAAAGGCTTCATCCACGTTCTTCAAAGGAACAATCATCAGTTGAAGCTCTGCTCTTGAGGCGAAGAATGCGATTAGGCGCTAAAGTGAAGGATGGCTCTCAGAAGGGCTATGTTAAGGTCTCAAAGGCCACTTAACAATAGCCGCCAATCAGGACGACGTGGTGTTGATGCGTATATAAGAGAACCCAGACAGCACGAGAACCAATGAATTTATGAGGCTCCCATGTAGACGATGTGGGTTTTGGTCAAACACAGGCATAGACATTGACATCTATCTGAAGACTTTTTGCCTTTAGAGCTTATTGTGGTTTCTGGAGCCTAATTATTTCCATTTTTGGGAGTCCTGTCGATATGCGGGCGCAGAGCACCCTCCCACTCTTACTTTCCTTAGCACTCGTCCCAGTTTAGCATATCTTTCGTACAGGCTCACTCAAAGTACCGT